GTGATTTTTTTCGATCAAAACATTTTTTCGAGTTTTTTTGATATTTTTTGATCAAACAGACAAACAATCTAAAAAAACAAACAAAAATGGAAAAAATTGTATTGAGAGCTCAAAATTCAACTCAAAATGACAAAATTTTTGTTACCGGGCCTTCCGGGCCCGGTCCGGAATTTTACAAGTGTGCAGAAATCGTCTAGTTTACGCTCATACAACAATATGTGCCAGGTTTCTAATGACCTTTCATGAAATCTCTACGACTTTTAATAACACCAATTTGTGTCTGTTCCCAGCAGCGTCGCATTTCAGAGATTGCAGGGAGATTGACGAAACACAGAGAAACAGGAACAGTGGGGATAGTGACGCATAGGAGAAACGAGGCACCCCCTATGTCTTTCTTCCCCCATACTATTCATTTCCTCCCTTTGACGACTTGACTGAATAGACGTCTTTTTTGGGAGCTCTCCAAAAACCCTAAAAATGCATGGGTTTTGGAGAGTTCCTTTCCTTTTTATTGTTCTGAGTATTAATATCCCTTATTATCCTTATTACATTCGAAAAATCATTTATTTAAATGATTTCGCAATATCGATTTTTGATGTAATTTTTTCTCAAAAAGGTATGTTTTTTTTTCCGAAATCTGAATATTTTCGAGTAGATAATGTAAATTTTGAATTAAAGGAGGCCAGACACCAAAAAAAAAGTTTTCCTGATAATTTGCCTAGAGAACCCCCATGAGGAGTTTAACTCATGCTGAACAGCTCAGGGGTACAGCGCCGCTAGCGGCTGAGCTACGGGAGCGCAAAGGCGCCTGACGACCAATGGCCTACATAAGCGCGGCGCGATCTCGTCCCCCAAACTGTCCCCCAAAATTTTTGCTGCCTGGCCTTAGTTAACTAATGTAAATTCTACAAATAATATTAAAATTATAGTAGATTCTGTTTGAGAAGGCTGTGAGTCCTCAGGTCTACCAAATGTTAACATAAACATGTAAAAAAAGTTGTCAGTTGCGGAATTGGAGTTCTGTTTTTGTTTAATAGCTCTGAGTAATTTTCAGCCTTATCTGGCTAGATTTAAATAGCTTTTGCGAGCCAAAAAAAGGAAAATCTCATTAAAAAATATACAAATTTTCGGAAATCCATCATTCTCAGCTCCAAATCGCTCGATCCCTTCAACTTCACAAGATTCGTCAGTTCAGTCTGGAAATGTGCAAATCGCATCTAACCCTGGGTGAGTTCTTTTGTTTTGGAACCAATTCATCAAATTGGTATTTTAGGACAGTATTCAACAAGATCATCGGAAATGAAAGGTTCAACACCTGGTGCCTTGACCATGGATTTGTGATGACGTAATCCACCGGTTCTTCAGCAACCTTGGCAATGATCGATTTGATATTTTGGATCCTTGCCTTTGGGAGATGTACGAGAAATGGACAATCAAGTACTCCTCCGGGATAAAGGTCATTGGATTCTTCTCAAGTTAAATTCTTCGTCGATTTGGTATGCGAACAGTTTGGGATTCGAGCCGCGTGGAAAACAAAACGATACTTGGATCACCCGATTCCAACTCAAAGGGATGATGTCAATTGTGGGATTCATGTTTGCTTGATGGCTCAATCAATCGTCACAAATCAGTTCTGTCACGGAGAGATAGATGTTCAAGTATTGAGAAGAGCAACCAAGGAAACACTCATGGATAAATGTTCCTCTCCCTGAACGACCTTGCCCAAGCTTGTTTTTTTGTTTGTTGTTTCATAATATCCTCCGTTTATGCTCATCACAGCTAGATATGTAATTATACTCGAATTTGATGCTGATTTAAATTTAATGAAAAGTTGCATACCCAAATCTTTCCTATTTTTCACGTTAATGCAGAAAGGGGACTCGATTTGAAAATTGGCACCGAGCCAAGTGTGGTAGTTGCCAGCTGAGACTTCGCTCTCTACATTCAGAAGAGTTATCAAAAAATAAAAAATAAAATATTGTTCAATTTCGAGTATACCACTACAAAATTCATGTCCTAGAACGTCCTAAAAATTGAGAAAATTTCTTTGAACATCAGTATTTTGCACCGAAAAAGGATTTTCGGTAAAACTGATAAAACTCAGCTGAGACAGCGAGCAATTTCTGAAATTTTCAGAAGTGTCTAGATATGCTATTCTCAACCCACCCTGAAATTTTATCAAAATCTGGTTATACAAGGTGTTGAGGTCCTCTTGTAAGAAAACGGATTTCTTGTTTATATAATTTTAACATAAGCAGGACTAGTGCTAACAAAAGTTATTACTGTGCTTTTATTGACACTGTAACACTGTAACCCATAAAATTCTCTACCCCAACACCCACATACCAAGTCATTCATAAACTACTCGGTTGACTATAAAAGAAGAAATACTTCTCTCAAACTGTCATTTCAACATGAATCGTTTCCTCTATTTGATATTCTTGTTCTTCGTAGGAATCGAATGCGGTATTTTAAGCTGGGAAGAAAATCAACAATTGAAAACATATTGTGGAACGAAACCAGGACCCTTGGAACAGTTTTCGAGCAGAAGAAGTACGGTAAAACTAGTAATAGAAGGGCGCTCAACACTATCAAGTTCAAACTGATTTCTATAGCTTTCTATGAGAGATATCGACAATTTGTCAACTACTGAAACACTTTTGTTATTATAAACAATTTATCAGTTGAACCGAGATGAATTGGCTCTGAGTCAAAAGCCGATGGGTCCTTCTAATACAGGTTTTACAGTGTTTAAAAATAATCTAGCACTATTGAAACTAATAAAAAATATTTCTTGTTTGAGGAAATATACTCGGTGGAGTTCCAATTTCTGGGAGTCAGGCTCCATGGGCTGTTCGCATCAGATTTGGAAATCGGAGATGCTCGGCAACAATAATCTCACCTAGACACATCTTATCCGCTTCTCATTGCGTAATTAGTCATCAAGGAGATTATGATCCCATCCTAACACAATCAACAGCGTTCTGCAAGTAAGATATAAGATTGTTTGGCTTTCCATGTTATCTATAATTTCAGCGAAAACGATTGGGTGTTCACCCAAAACAACAATCTATTTTATGTTACTAATCAGAAGGATGAGCTCGTTTCCGAAAAAGTCTCAAAGGTGAAAATGAGTTTTTTTGAACCATGATAATTTCAAAATTTCAGATAATTCTTTTTAACTACTGCTACCGTGCGGATCCCGTTTATGACGACATGATGATTTGGGAATTAAAAGAAGATATTCAATTAAATGATTTTGCTCAGCCGGCTTGCATTTCAAGTAAGTCCATATTTATGAAAGCCTAATATCGAGCGTCTTTTAGACAATCCAAGTCTTCAAGCAACCTATACAAATGTTCGAATGACGTCATATGGTCATAACAGTTAGTGTCCAATAGTAGAATTCTTTTAATTCTATTCATTACAGGCACAAACATGAAAAATACAGATCGTAAAGGGATTTCTATCTTAAGAAAAGGAGATTTCATGGTATGTATGGTCAATGCCTAATTAAACCTCTAATCAATTATCTTCAGATAGAATCATTGGCGAATTCGGGGAGTGCATTTATTATTGTTGACCAACATCAGAAATACTATGTCAGAACGGTTAGTTGGAAAGTTTGTATCCTACTCTAAAATAATTTGATTGTACAGGGTGACAGTGGTGGAAGTGTGATTAATGACGTCAACGGAAGACACTTTGTCATTGGAGTGGCTAGTTGCACTGAAGGCTCTGATCCGTTCAAAACAATAATTACCTCCGTGTATGCACACTTCAATCAAATTTGTCAATATACTGGAGTTTGTTGAAGTTTTAAATTTAAATCAATAAAATGTTATTACTATGATTTCTTAAAAAAACATTTAAAAAGTTTATTGTTGTATTATTTTTTCTCTACGAAAAAAAAAACTGGAGTCGTAGTTCGAATTGACATCGAAGAATTGGTTTCAAATAAATGAACTTTTTAATATTCATTGTAGTTAGAAGTTAATGAGCAAAATGGTGAGTTGGTTTGTGATATCTGAATGTTTTCCAATGGACAATACAATTTTTGAATGAAATAATAGCTTGTGATATTTTCAAAGCGATTCCTTAAGTTTGTGTATTCTTAAAATTGTCTAAAAACGTATGCTTTTGAGATGATCATGAGATGAAACAATAACTCAGCTTGAAGTTTATCAAATTACTTGAAACTTAGCTTATTTACTGAAGAATTATTTGAATTTTCGCACTTTAAATGGGAGCCAGCAACGCCTTACTCGAATTTTATGTTAGTATGAACTTATTTCGGAGATGTGTCGCAACTTCATTTAGGTGTAAAATTTCAGCGCAAAGATACGAAAAATACAATTGAATCATGCATTTTGTACCCCCGTATCATATATTTTGTAATTCCAAATTGTTTTAATCAACTTCTTTTTACCCACCGTTGATTTCATCATCGCAGAGTTACTGACCTGTCTTCTATAGATACAGAAATTTCAACTTTTCTCAATAATTCCTATTGTCTCCCCGATTCCTTTTCTAAATAGACTTTTCAGATTTAAAAAAATTTTGCTCACAATGGAAATCGTCCAGTTCACACTCCTAAAACAATAGGTGCATCTAGACTCGTAAATGAATAGATGTAATAAAATCTGGTATCTAATGTGTGAATCCAAATCGCACTACATGTTACATTGTTCATCAACCCTACTCTAATCTGTGACTCTTAATAACACCTAGTGTCATTCTACATGACACTACATTATGAACAACTCCACCTGGTTAGGCACTATTTTTTTTCAAATGTTTAATTTTTCAAATTTTTCAATTTTTTCTATTTTAATTTTTTTTCAAATTTTTCAAATTTTCCTATTTTTTAAAATTCTAAATTTCTTATTTTTCTAATTTTTCTCTTTTTTCTATATTTTCTATTTTTTTCCTTTTTTCCATTTTTTCTAAATTTTCTATTTTTTCTATTTTAATTTTTTTTTCAAATTTTTCAAATTTTCCTATTTTTTCTATTTTAATTTTTTTTTCTAATTTGTAATTTTTCAAATTTTTCTATTTTTTCTATTTTAATTTTTTTTCTAATTTTCCAAATGTTCCTATTTTTCTATTTTTTCTATTTTTCTTTTTTTTTCAAAATTTCCTATTTTTTCTATTTGAATTTTTTTTTTCGTGAGTTTTCGAAGTTTCCTATTTGTTGTATTTTTTCTGTTTCAATTTTTTTTCTAATTTTTGTAATTTT